GGGGCGATATGCTGACTCTGTAAACCGCTTAGAGAGGGCTGAAAGCCCTATGAAGCGGTATATAAGTCTAACTGCTATTGCTATTGCTATTGGTTCTCCGAACTACTCAATATTTCCACTACCGGTTCTCTAGAACTGGTCAGAACCTGCTGAAGACCCACTTCTGATTGAAAGGGCTTCGGTCAAGAGGCTCTTTAGCTATAACGGACAAAAGATCATTTGCAGATTCTTTTTTCCTTCAATTTAAATTTTATTAAAAGAGTTCTAAGGTACTGCATCCAGTACATGATATTTATTACCAAAATTATTAACAAATATACAAAACTTATATATGGAATATTTATTACATCCTTTTATTCCTCTATAATACTGCATTTGTTCAAGTAGGTCACCTACAGTGTAAACTTCCCTCAGTTTGAATCTCGACTAGTTTGGGAAAGGCCCTCTAACATCACGTAGATATGAAATTAAAACTTTATTTGGCTTTGACTGGCAACATCTGATTCTTGCATTTGGCACGTGGAAGAAGTATCTACAGTGCAGAAAGGAGGCATAATTTTTAGGATTTGATTTTGAATCGTAGTTTTTAAAAGCTGAGGAGAGAGACTCCGCATACATTAATTTGATATTAGTAATAATGCATATGACACACGGGTCAGTTGTCCTCCCTTCCACTTCACTCAAATCTTTTTTCTTCATTAGGATTTGCTGGTAAAAAAAAATATCTTCCATTTTATTGATGATTTCCTGTATCCTTTTTCTTTTATAAACAAAGAGGAAGAAATCATCGACTGGAGACGGCTTTCTGCACACAATTCCATGTGAATTGAAATGTATAGATTTTTACACGCAGATGTAAAAAAAGTTAATAAGTGGTCCATGGATGTGAGTGCGCGCTTGGGTGTCTTAAAGTCAGCAAGATAATAATGTCATTCTAATCCAGAACCAAATGTTCATTGTGTAGTCTTTGAAAGATAAAATTAAAAATAAAAAATCCCACGAAATTCTTCCCACCTCTCTTTTCTCTCCTGCTTATCATCGTTTACAAATGTAGCTTAAAATAACTTCATAAAGCTGATCCAGAGAGTGCTCTGACTTATTCAAACTCTCCTGCATTCTCCCTCAAGCATCGTATTGCTAATTGTAAGAGGCCATCCCACCAAATGTCTCACGTCGGATGGGTACAAGTTTAGATGGCGGCATTTGAGTATCAAGCACGTGGCCTTTTTAGTTACCAAAGAGTCCCACTCCCCTCTGTGGCGCCATACATTTCCGCCAGCTTCCTAAAGCGTGGTCCCCAGTCTGTCAGATAGTCATAGCTCTGTTCTGAGTCCGTAGTTACAGACTGTAAGGAACTGAGCGATTCGGCCGCTGAGCCGTTGCCCTCAAACATATAGGTCTGGAGGGAGTCGAAGGGAGGAGCCCAGAGGTCCATGTCCGCTTCATAGAGTTTGGCCAATACATAGCTGTGAACACTGCTGTCCATTGTGCAGGCCTGAGGGACGTATCTTGAGAGGCTTTCGATCTCTGGCATCATGTCTTGTCGGTTCTTCATGAACGCTTGGGCCTCCCTGGGATTCCACAGGGCAGAGATGTCGAAAGCTTCCGTATCTTCTTCCCCGCCGCCTTCGTCGTCATATCGGACAATGTTCTCATGGATATTCTCGTCCTCATCAAGCATGTAAGGCTGCTTCCGGTGTCTCTTCATGGATAAGATCAGTAGCACCAGAACTAAATGAAATAGAAAATACTTAGGCAGCAATTCTTCTTCACTCAAGACAAATCAACAAGAAATATTTCATATTTCATGGCTTAGGGCCAGCGTACCTTCGAGACCGCCTACTGCCACATACCTCCCAGNCCCAACGCACCCTCCCCCCCTCACAGGAGTCTCCACCAAGCCCATTCATCATGCTAGGTAAGAACAGGGCCCATGCAGAGGCTTGGGGAGGGGCTTACTGGAGGTTCTGGAAGTCCAGAAATGGTCCCAGAAGTTCTAAAAGGGCCTCTGGAGCCCAGGAGGGGGGGAGGGGGGTGTCCACCATGGCCATGCCCACCCAGCAACCGGGCAGCAAACCCGTTGCTGCAATTTTTGAAGCCCACCCCTGATTACTCTGCAGACCATTCAGTACAAATGTTTATAACAGTGATAGGAAAGCAATGTTTTATACTGTTCCTGTTTCATTAAGTTGTGTCTTGATAAAGCATGTCAGGAATGGGTTCCCCTTTCCAATGCTTCCTGGTACTATGGCATAAACCTCTTAAGGCACACAATTATATATATATATATATATATTCATTCATTCATTCATTCATTCTTGGGAAAGTATATGATTTTACCACTGGGTGGCAATGTACTTCAGCAAAAATAAAAATCCAGGCATTTATAAAAGGTCCCAAAATCAACCTTTTGTATAGGATAGGATGTGTCTCTTACAGGCATGGGATGCTGAGGTACTCCTACTGCACAATTAATGTTTGACTTGTTTAGTGACTGCCCTGTTTAGTGACTGCCTTGTTTAGCAAGTGTTAGCAGTTAAAATGGTGATGAAAAAGTAACTTTTTGATCAATCCTTAAATTTACGACAGTCTGTAAAAAGAAAGGTGAATTAAGATCATAATCCCTATTAGTTTCACTAACCAACTTTTTCATTTAGATAAGTGGGTCAATAGCTGTTTGATCCCAGAAGGGAGCAATAATTATTTATAGCCACATGTTATCCAAGAATGACTCAAACAGCTTAAATCCAGAATTTTGTTGGGCCCGAAATAAAACTTGTTTGTAAGTCTGTTAACTAGGATCATAAATCTGGTTTAAGAATCTAATTTTGAACGTAAAAGGGATCATTTTAAATATACTAGGATCTAATCATAAACTTCCCAAACTTCAGAAATTTCTCAGTTTGGCATATTTCATGAAGTAGTTGTAAAATATTATGCTGTTGGATTAAAGAAATAAGAAAAAAAATGTGTTAGGACTGTGCTCTGAACAATTCTCCAACGATTGAAATAACAAAGCAAGATTTGCTTCTTAAGAACAATTTTGTTTGATGTGGAAGAATTCTTTTTCAAAAAGAAATCTTTCTGAAAAACTTATTTAACCTCATGAGCATAGCAAAAATAGCTACTGAAGAAAGATCCTTATAGAAAACACCAGTAATTACCATGCAGTTTTGAATACAGGTTGTATCCAATTGTGATTGTGGAGTGTAACTTTTCTCTTCTTCCCCAGGTTCTGGGAACAGAATTAATTGGAGTGAACCATAGATAACCTCCCTAAAGAAGCCTAACTCAGGACAGCATGAAATTGTAGGAGGCTGATGAAGATATCTGATTATTTGTGGTTTAATAAGAATATTTTTCTGTTGCTGGTTTTTTTTACCGTTTCTTGTGTGGCTTTTCCTTGTATTCTGAGACCCCTGATCTAGTTGAGATAAGTGGCCTTAGAACAGGGGTCTCCAACCCCTAGGCTGTGGCCCATCAGAAGCAGTCAGTGAACATGCATAATATGCACACAGCAGCTCCACTTATGCGTGGTATGGGTGGGTGAGCACATGCGTGCGCATCTCCATTTGCACATGTGTGCCTCAGGGCTGGGTTATGGCAGTCACTACTGCTGGTTTGCTCATGGGTGCACTGCTGTACAATAAAAATTGTTGTGCGCATGTGCAGAAGCAAAAAACAAGATGGCGCTGCCCAAAGAACCGGTCACTGCCGGTTCCAGGGACCCAGGCTGCCAAACCACTACCGGTTTGGCCGAACCGGTCCGAACCAGTAGGAACCCATCACTGATGTGCCTGCTGCTTGCACAAATGGATTGGAAACTGCTGCCTTAGAGTAGCAATAGCAATAGCAGTTAGACTTATATACCGCTTCATAGGGCTTTCTGCCCTCTCTAAGCGGTTTACAGAGTCAGCATATCGCCCCCACA